GTTCCTCGATCACGTACCCAATGGCAGGAAACGGTAGCATGGACTATACAGAAGAGGGGAGTGGCTAGAGAGAGGCATGGCAAAGCTCCTTGAGCGGGTGTGACATCACAGGACTTGGTTGAGAAGGATGTGCTGATCACCGTCTGAATGAGAATATTGGGTTGGCTGAAACATTTCACGAATGCCGTTTCTTCCACAAAGATTAACAAAAATTGAAAAATGAGGCTCAATACTAACAGAATGATTTTCTACTACACAGCTCAAAAGTATATTCAAACAATCTATCGCTAACCCCAATCGCAATTCAAAGAATTTCCAAGGACCATATTTTTGTTTGCATTCGTGAGTTCTCACCCATCTATTATAAACTTCAAAATGAAGGATGAGAAGAATACACACCTTCTTATTCTCTTCTTCCACAATTTCCAAAGTGTAGTCGCAGTCAAAGGTTAGGCCTCCTATTGCAGCAGAGCACTCACTGACTCGTAATTCTTGTAATCTGTAAGTACTAACTCTTTAATGATTTGTAAATATGAGATATGATGGAAGTAAAGTCCAAAATCACTCACGGTGTATCCACATGCTGATTCAGCTGATATTCCCGACAAGTACCGCGCTTTGCTGTCACGACGAACGTTTTCTTTTCCGGCGAGCAGGCTCGGGAGTTTATCCAGTTGATGGTCGTCTGAAAATGGAGTGATACTGGATGTTCAAAAACTATTAAAACTAAGCTGAACTGAATAAAATTTGCATCTTACTTAGATAGACTGAAAATTTCGATAGATAAAAATAAAATGAGAACAGAAACTAACCCGAAGCTCCCCATCAAAGAAAGGCGTCTATATGTCCACATTGTCGTCAGTGGCCTCGTCTTCGTCTTCGTCAGTAGATGTCGGCACGACTAGATCAAAACCAGTCTGATCTAAAACATTTTGAATAGGGGACTCGGTCGCTACACTTTTTGAGAATAGAAGAGGCGAACTGACCGATAGGAGGGTCCTGGACGATTTCTGACGTT